CCCCAAAACCCCAAAACCCCAAAACCCCAAAACCCCAAAAGTTTTATTTCAATATAATTATAAGAATATGTCACATTTCAGCCCTAGATCTAAGCTAAACAGGGTAAAATCAGAAGAAATTGTGTATGCATCTCCAGAAGAGAAGGCTAAGAGTCAAATTGGGATCTCAAACATCCTAAGGAGCAGAATAGACAAGATCGTCAAAAAACCAAAGAACAGTGCATATATATCAGGTGTATGTAAGAACATCCCTCCTGAGGAACCTCCTCTTAAATAAAAGAAGGAAGAACGACGATACTGTTCATCTCTTGTCAAAATATTCAGGGGAGGCTAAAGCACTGTTTGAAATCAGGAAGAATGAAAATTATAAGATACAGATGAAGCATGAGAAGAGCAAGACTATCAAAAATTATCTGGACTATAACACTGATGTAAATAAGTCAGTCAAGCTCTTTCCTAAGATTTCTAAACCTCGGAAGGCTAAGGAACAACTAAAGAAGGTCAAATCTGTATCTCCTGAGAGGAAGTATCATACCTCCAAAGCAGCTGAAGAGATCTATCAGAAGTACCTCAATAACAAGAAAGAGGAAGATTTTAACAAGAGTAAGAGAAACATGAACTGGCTTAAAACTCTCACAAATCAGTTCAAGGATTCTCCAACTAGAAAGAGGATAAATACGTTCAGAATTGGAAAAGGAAAATTGATTCCAAATTACTCTATTCACAACAAATTCTCTCAGACTCAGTTCAAGTCCTTCATGTCTCTTGATTATGGAGACTTTGCTCAGCCAGAATCTCTCGAACAGATTATCGCAGAGAAAGAGGAGCAAGTAAAAAGAACAGTTGATGAAGAAAAAGCTATAGAGAAGAGATACAACGAGGTGAAGGCAAATAACACTTTGTTCGAAGACGAGGCTGACGAATCTGACCTTTCTGAGGTAAACGACCCTTTAATCAAGGAAGGGAAGAAATCAACCGAATTTCTACAGTATAAGCTTAAAGATTTCATGCTGAAGGCTTCTAGCTTTGATAAAGGTAATTTACCAAAATTTAAAAAGCCTGTCAAACCCATTGACTTATTCAAAAAGGTTAAGGTGAGAGATCCAGGAGATCAGTGGAGAAATGATCTTGAATGGAGAAACCAGAGTAATCCAAGATATGAAGAGCTAAACAAGTCGATCTCTAAGAAGGAAATGCGAATGGTTCATAAACGTCATCATGCTCACCAACTTAAAGCTCTTGCTCTTGGGCAGGACCTCAAGGCATTCGACAGAAAGATCGTAAGAGAACTCAAGAAGAAAATATTTTAATAATTCTCATTTCAATATCATAAGATTGATAAGGGGTTTTGGGGTTTTGGGGTTTTGGGGTTTTGGGG